TGGGGAGAGAGAGAGAGGAGGGAAGGAAGAAGGAAGGGGGAGGAGGAGAGGAGAGGGGAGGAGGGGGGAGAGAGAGAGAGAGCAACCCCTGTGGTTGCCAAACGTTGCACTCCCTGAAGTCCCAACAAGGCATTTCGGGACATAACACACGAAAATACCCATAACCCATTTACCTGTGTAAAACCAAGAGCCAGAAACCCAACAGTCAAACATCCTTACGTGTTTATCAGAAGGAAAACCCAAGCCTTGTTTCTATCCAGCAGGGAGAGGGACCGGAGACACGGAGGACATGGGAGGGTAGTGTGGCGTGGGTTCCTGTCCAACAAAGGCTAGAGGAGGGAAGCGGAGGGAAGGGGGAGGCGCGGAGGCGGGAGGGAGGGGGCCGTGCTCCTAGACCCAAGCCGGTCTATCCTTCGCAGCTTTTCGACAGCCTTTCCTGCCTCTAAATCTACTTTCTAAGAACTACGCACCCACTACGTTACATCTCCCCGCGTGCTGATAGAGAAGCGAGAGCGAAAGAGGTGCGGAGAGGAGAGGGAAGAGGAGAAATAAGGGCGAATCGCCTCTTGGCAACCGACAGGCGGAAGCTCACATAAGCTGCGTCACGAAGGGCGGAAAACCCCATTATCTACAAAGCTCCTTTTCTACCTCTATTTCGACGACTTTTTCGCTCTCTCGTCGTCTCGGGGATGCCCTGGGTGGTTGGTCGACGCGGGCTTACCTTTTTGGCGACTAGTTATCTCGTTGTATTTGACATTTGTAGCGTTAATGAAGGAGACGACGCGCTGCCTTCCTCTCTCTTGCGCACCCGCGGGTCTTCTGGCCGAGGCGCACTCAAGCTCCGCCTTCGTCATAATTCGCTCTTCCGCCGGCTGGAAAACACACTCCGAAATTCTACATAGAGTGGATTTTTCTCGGGATATTCGATATTCAAAATAATACTGTATTAGTGATCGAATGGGTTATTCTGGAGGAATGATTTGAGTTTAAAGTATTTCGGCGGTTTGGTTCGATTCGACGCCGACCGACAAGAGTCAGCATTGCCAATGTTTGAGCTGCGTTCGCTACGCGCGTGACATCTGCGCTAGATTGCAGGGAAAGCAAACGCAAAATCTATAATAAAGGTGAACCGCCATTTTATATCATTAAGTGATTTGGTTCTTCATTTAAATTAGTTTCAATCACCCATCAAGAAAGTTCATTTTATCACAAGAGTAGCCATATTTTCCTTTTAATAAGGTAATTACACATAAATATTAATTACATTCAACCAGATATTATCTTGGGTCGCTCACGCGCGTGCTCACAGATGAATGGGCATTAACGCGCACACTCACAGACGCACATAAAAAACCTCTAGCTTACGCACATTAACATGGCCTACACACTCTCATTTGCATATCTGTTCCTCTCAATTTCTCTCTCTCTCTCTCTCTCTCTCTCTCTCT